CTTTAGCATGTATATGCATTTTGTTTCTGTTGTGGAATATGACTTCCATCTTTATTAACAAGTTTCAGTTATTTTCCTCATATATGCAGATGGAGATCAATCTGCAGGGGTGGGAATTTTTCAAAGCCTTTATCATCCTCAAGTTTTTACTTGTTACATTCTCATGGTGTGCGATACCTTAGCAACTTGGTAAATTTTGCTGATGAAACAAGTAGACAGATTAACTTTGAGCATTTATTTAATGCTTGCACGACATCTGAGGCTACAAGGCGCGTTCATGCTCTTCTTATTGTGTCAGGCAAAGCCCTAAGCTTTTTTTATGCTACAAGGCTCGTCAACAAGTATTCCTTTCTCGGTAATGTCTCCTTGGCCCGGGACACTTTTGATCAAATCTCTAGAAAGGATTCCTATACATGGAATTCCATGATCTCAGCTTATGTCCGGAATTCCCATTTTGATGAAGCAATAAAATGTGCGTTTGAAATGTTGTCAAGCACTGATGTTCGACCTGATTTCTACACCTTCCCCCCTATCTTGAAAGCCTGTAAATCTTTATGTGATGGGGGACTATTTCATTGCTGGGTTTTGAAATTGGGGTTTGAGTGTGATGTGTTTGTGGCTGCTTCATTAGTGCATATGTACTGCCGTTTCGGGTTTTCTAGTCGTGCGTATACGATTTTCAGAAATATGCCATTTTGGGACATGGGATGCTGGAACTCCATGATTTCAGGATTTTGTCAAAGTGGCAATCGTAAAAAGGCATTGACAGTTTTTGATGAGATGATACTGGGAGGCATAGCAATTAACGCGGTGACTGTCTCGACTATTCTCGCAATTTGTGCACAAACTAATGATTCATTATGCGGCATGTTGATCCATTTATTCACGATAAAGCACGGTTTGGAATCTAACGTCTTTGTTTCTAATGCGTTGATCAACATGTATGCCAAATTTGGCTACATGGATTGCGCCCGAAATGTTTTCGATCAGATGGGCGTTAGGGATTTGGTCACATGGAACTCCATAATCGCAGCGTACGAGCAACGTTGTTGTCCACAGGTAGCACTGGCTTTTTTTCACTAGATGAAGTCAAATAAAGTCCAACCTGACTCGTTGACACTGGTGAGCCTATCCTCATGCCTTGCTCAGACAAGAGATATTTTACGGAGCAAATCAATTCATGGATTTGTTATCAGGAGATGCTGGATCACAAAAGACACCATAATTGGAAATAGCATCGTCGACATGTACGCGAAATTAGGCATTTTGGATTCCGCGCGTCGGGCTTTTGTGCAACTTCCTTTTAAAGACGTAATCTCGTGGAACACACTGATCACGGGTTATGCTCAAAATGGCTTGGCAAGCGAGGCCATTAACTTGCATCGAGCAATGAAAGAAAACGATAATCTGAAGCCTAACCAAGGAACGTGGGTGTCAGTTTTACCAGCTTATGCTCATTTAGGAGCTCTTAGAGATGGAACAAGAATCCATTGTCTGGTGCTTAAACAAAACCTTGATGTGGATATGTATGTGGGCACTTGCCTTATCGATCTGTACGGAAAATGTGGTAGACTGAGTGAAGCTATGCTGTTATTCAGTGAGGTGCCAGGAGAAACTTCAGTAACTTGGAATGCTGTAATATCGTGCCACGGGCTTCACGGGCTTGGTCAAACATCTGTCCGACTTTTTCACGACATGTTGAGTGAGAGAGTGAATCCCGATGAGGTGACTTTCTTATCTTTATTGACAGCTTGTAGCCATTCCGGTCTTGTCGACGAGGGAAAACGGTATTTTCACAGCATGGAGCAAGAATATGGAGTGAAGCCCACTTTAAAGCACTATGGGTGCATGGTTGACTTGTTTGGGCGGGCCGGGCTATTGGAAGAAGCATACAAGTTTATTGAAACCATGCCTGTGAGGCCCGATTCCTCAATATGGGGCGCTCTTCTTGGTGCCTCTCGAGTTCATGGAAATGTTGAGATGGGTCAAAAGGCATCCGGCCAGTTATTCGAGCTCGACCGTGAAAATGTCGGATATTACGTTTTACTGTCGAATATTTACGCAAACTTTGGGCGGTGGGAAGGGGTCGACACTGTAAGGTCATTGGCCCGGGATCGCGGCTTGTGGAAAACGCCAGGGTGGAGTTGGGTCGAATTAAATAATGAACTCGTGGTTTTCTATACGGGCAGTCGGTCTCATCCTCAGAGTGAGGACATATACAAGGAACTAGCTTTACTAAATTCTAAATTGAAAAGCCTCGGTTATATCCCAGATTATAGTTTTGTGCTTCAAGATGTAGAAGATGACGAGAAAGAGAATATTCTCTCGAGCCACAGCGAGAGGTTGGCTATTGTGTGCGGAATTCTTAATACGCCACCTAAAAGCACTATAAGGATATACAAAAATTTGCGGGTTTAATGTGACGAAACTGATATCTAATAGTTACGGAGAGGGAAATTATCGTGAGGGACTCGAATCGTTTTCATCACTTCAGAGACGGGTTTTGCTCATGTGCTGACTATTGGTGATGCGTCTCCCAATTCTCAGTTTTACAGATAATATGGTTAGATTCAATTTAAATGGAATCAGTATGAATGAGTGAGATCATAATGTATATATAATATTTTTATGTATCATATGATGAAATGGTTCTTCTTTGGAAGCTGTATAAGTTTCTGTGTTTGCCTAAATTATTTTTGTACAATATTTGTAGATTTTCTTATCATTTTTTTTTTTNTTTTTTTTCGTAGCATAAAGAATTTAATTGCCCAATATTTAACTTCCATATGCTGGGTTTTATATCACTTTAAATTTTCGTTTGTAATTTTCGTTGGGAGGCAGCATACTAGTCCCTATTCATTTGTAATTTTCGTTATATTGAACTCTCTGTCACTTATTTATGCATCATGATGTAGTTAGATTTTCATTTTATTTATTGGTTCTTATGGTGGCACATAATGTATTTTAGTTTTCAATTTTCGTTGTATTTTTTTGTTGTTATTTATTATTTATAATAATGTCTTATCAAACGTCACTAACTTCACTTGGAAATACTTTTACAAAATATAGGACATAATTATACTTAGGAAGTTAAAAATATTGCTTCTTACGGGTTTGTCTAAAAGCAACAATTTTGTTATATGTATTGGGCTGACCTTTGAGTTAGACGGATTGGGATCCAGCTTGTCTTTGCTTAAAATAATTTTTTTTCAGATAATCATGTTATTTTGTAAAAATTGGTTTCAGGGAGTGTTTGGATACAAAATTATCCGTTTAAAATGAGTTTTTTTAGTTAATTATTATTAATTTTGAAAAAAGTTGTTTGATTAATTGTTAGTGAAATTTTGAATTATATAAAAACAATATTTAAAATAAAATAATTAAAATTAATTTGATGTAAAAGTATGAGAGATATAGTATGAAAATGATAGTTAGTTAAAATTATGTGAACGGATAAATAAATAAAATAAATATCGTATAAGATGCTTAATTTAATAATTACTATTATTTAATATTTAATTATATTGATTATATTAAAAATAATGAATTATATTAAATTAAATTAAATTTTAAATATAAATTGAGTGTAAATAAGAATATTTCATATACACACCCCCTCATACCCCGACTCCTCTATATAAGTGGAGAAAGGAAAAGTAAATGGACCCATCCCCACTAAATGCATGAGATATACATGGCAACTAAAAGAAAAA